GATGGCCTCCAACCTAAGAGCGGTGGCCTCCAACCTAAGAGCGATGGTCTCCAACCTAAGAGCGGTGGCCTCCAACCTGAGAGTGATGGCCTCCAACCTACTATCAAAGCTTGGATTCGGATTCGTCCCAAGAGACCACTCAACTCAGCTTGCCCAACTCCGTGATGGACCTGGCTCAGGTTTCGAGGCGAGTGCAGATCCGAATGAGCTAGTAAGAGAACAAAATGCCAGCAACCAAAAGCAGACGTGCGGCACCGATTTGAACTAAGCAGTTCGATGTAGACACTGACAGTGCCAAAACGGAGGGCGGAATACGTCCTTTTGTCGCTCGCCATGGATGTTTGGTTCAAGATGGTGGCCGTATTGACTTTCTCCCTGATTTTTATGGTTGGAGGAATTGTGTACCTTGTGAGGCAGAAGCGAAGTCTTCGTTGGGACGCAGAGAAGTTGAAGCGCGAAGTGACCAAGATCGTGGACAGCATTCCTCGCAGACGAACAGCTGAAGGGGAGTGTTCTATTTGCTTAGAAGCCTTTGCTGGTGGAGAAGTGAAGCAAATGAAGTGCCAGCACAGTTACCACACAGAGTGTTTGTTGACTTGGGCACTTCATCGAGCCCTTCGGGGCTATGAAAGCGTTCCCTGCCCACTCTGTCGGCAAGATCACACGATCCAGTCCACCAATCCGGAGATCATCGGCGGAGTGAGTTTCATGGACCTCTAGGACGTGACCGGAGAGGTCACAGCCGAGGCGGTCGGAGCAGCGCTCGGACCTTGAGAGGCTAGGCCCGAGGCTCGCGAGCGATCGGCCGAGAGGGAGGAATCAGAGCTACCCGAGGAGCGAGGATGGAGTTGTTGAATTGGTAAAACAAGCGTTAAGTCTTATAAAGCTAGTAGTAGTAGCGTCCGATCGTTCCTAGCAGTACACCCAAAAGCCCTATAGTAGCTTCTTGTTACTAGTAGCGATGCCAGGAGCCCCTAGTAGCGTCCTTGGCAGCGAGGATGCAGTATAGTTCAGTCCGCAACAAGACACCACCTTCGCAGTCAGAGATTCTTGCAGTCCACAACTGCTGGCGTCTTTATTCGTGCCAAGTTTGTAAGAAGTGCAGGACTCTTTTTCCAAAAGACCAGCTTCACCCTCCAAGCAAGCGTTTACAAGAAAGAACAATGCCCGCTAATTGCAACAGATCTTCAAGGTCACCAGAGTTCTTTGAGTCTCACTTCTTGCGCGTTAGACTTCGCAGATGTTCCCAGGTTTCGGCCCAAGGCCAGACTTTCCTTTCACGAGCAGTAGATCGGAGAGGGGCGGCGCCGCCTCTTGCTCGTCGTTTTGGCGCATTTTGGAGAGACACCGGGAATGACCACCGAATCAACTGACGGGATACAACCGACTGGATGTCAAAAAAGGTAAGTCTAAATGGTCTAGAATTGTCTTGTCGAACAACTGCTGTTCCTTCTTTCTTCTTTCTGACTTGCCAAGTGTCATTCTGGTGCATCTCAATCGGTGAACCAAGACGGAGCAGCCGAGCAATCGGTGAACCGTCTTCGTGAGCACTAAGTTGCCACATCTCTCGCTTTCGTCGGTGCTCTCAAGGTTCCAACTCAGAGGTCCAATGCTTTCCCGGCCCAGCCGGGTGAAACAGAGGTCACACCGGTGTTCTTGCGCGAGAGACTGCCGGCCAGACGATGCCAGACGTGAACTCATGGGCAGCATGTGCGATGGCTGCTTAGACTCAAGAAAGCCGAACAAAACAAGTTGGGAGTTGTGTGGCATGCCTGCTCTTGACATGCCTCACATGCATGTCTCATGCCAGAGTTCTGCGCCGCAAGCACCAACGATGTTATGAAACACGGAGTGGAGGCCATCGCTAGTAGGTTGGAGGCCATCGGTAATTGAGCTATAAGTAATTGAGCTATATATATATATAGGTAAGCTAGCAAGCTAGGATTTGCTACGTGGCTAGGATTTGCGAACGGTGAGTTGCACACCGTTCCCTTCCGATTCTCCCGCCTACCTCGGCTTCGAGGTGATTTGGCGCGAAGGCCGCCTGAAGAACGGCTTCGAGCGCCCGGCGGGACGCCCGAGGAACGCACCGAGAACGAAGCGGTGTTCGGCTCACAGCAACGTGCATGCGCACCCTGGAAGTGAATGCGCATGGTGAAAAACAGGTGAAAAACAGGTTCTTCCAGCCTAAAACGGGGTGCCCTAGAAGTCAGACTATATTTTGACCGGCTGGAGTAAAGGAAGTTCCCTTTTAGGTCCCCTAGTCAGACCATTCATTTTATAGTCTTTGACTCCCAGGGGGTGGCTTTCTTTTTTCACGATGTGTGTGTGTGTGTGTTTGACGCTTTCCGACGAAGCAGGTGATGTTGGTAGCGAGAAATCAAAGACACAGGGGCCAGTTTTCAATCTTCTTCGCCACTTCAAGGCTTCACGAACAGTGGATGGCCTGCAACGTAAGTAAGTGCCAAGTGGCAGTTGAAAGGAGACTAGTTGAATTCGACTGGTTCATGAAGCTACCGCTCGTATTATCACCCCCTCATCCAAATCACATTTAAGTGTTGGTCCCTCAAAGAAGCAACTGCTTTTTTCCAGCACCTAAGGAGCCTTCCTCATGGCAAAGCCTCTTTCCTTCGGAAGTGCATCGGTAAAGAACGATCAAACACCACGACCTCAACCGCGAAGCCGAGAGGAACTTCACCGAGACGGCGACATCGCGCGACGGCGGTCGGGTCGCACCGAGGTGGTGATCCACCGTGCCATCTTGGGTTCCATCGAGCGGATGTCGGGGGGCTAAGAGGCGAAACCAAAGGGGGTCGGCTGCGAAACGTGTTGGTTTTCAGTATGTTTGGGAATAGACGATATGAATTGTTCTCTTAAGCAGCGACTGAAGATGAACGAACCGTTCTTGTTTCGACGTTCGCGGTGAAGTCCACCAGGTCAGCCATCCTCATGGAGCACTACGCAGCTTGGAACAGACCGACCATGGACTTGGCACAATGGACATGGAGCAAGAAATGTAACAAATCGGGTATATATAGATTTGATTGCTTAGAGTGTATGATTCTACTGAGTCAGTCTTTAATCCTTGCTCAATATATGGAACACATGTCCACACCTAAAGAACTTTACCCAAAGTTGGTTCTTTAGTGAATCTGGGTTCTTTGGGTTGTTTGCTTCTTGAATTGATTTGTGGTAGCACCACCAAGTGAGCAAAACAATCTCGCGCTGTGTTTCTCCTTCTCTTGCGCTGTCTCCAGTGCGCGTGATCCTCACTGCACAAACTGATGTTTAAAATAAACATGTTATGGCTCAGAGCGCTTGAAACCTGCGGCTTCAGCCGCTGAGAGAGTCCAAAACGTATCATTGGTCGGTGAGACAAACTTCCAAAAAGGAGTTCCACTGGTATTCCTTTTGAATTTCAAAGCCTTCCATCCATTCTTGGTAGTCTCCTCACTCACTAGCTCAGCTTTTTGCCTTTTTCTTGGCTCCGCTTTTGCAGAAGGCCTTTTCATTTTTGCTGGACTCTTGGCACAAGGAAGTGATGGTTCTTTTTTCTTTTCATCCGCACGAAGTGAAGGATCAACACACTGATCTTCATCCGTTTTCTCCTCCTCCTCCCCCTCCGCCATCGCATCCCTTGTTTTTTCTACTTTGGCTGGGCTCTCTTCATTCTTTGGAGCGGTCTCACGAGAGGTGGCTGGTTTCTTTGGCACAATAGCCCTGCTCACTGGTTTTCTCATAGGTGCTGCAGTTCTGGCCGTCTTGGACGGGATGGAGCCTCACAAACATATCTCTCACTGACCAATGCTTCTGAATAATGATTTACATATATTTACATCTTAAATTGGGACCACTTCCCGTCTCATCATTCCCAATTTCATCAATATTAAATTTAAATGCTACAGCTTGAAAAGAAAAAATTATAATGCTAAACGGAACTAGTGAACTTTGGTTGCCATCTGCAGCATGTTCACCACTGCCGCGCGCGCGTCCACGACTTTGTCCCCGTCCGCGCGATCGTCCACGTCCGCGTCCCCGTCCAGGTGTTTCTTCAATGTTCTTCTTGTTGGTTTCTGGAGTAACAGGGAACAATTCTCTGGAACCAGTAGCGCAAAAGGATGGTGAAGCCCTGGGTGCCCTCGGTGGTGGGGTGGTCAAAGGAGCCGATCCACCTGCTGCTTGGTCAAGGCGTGCGAACACCAAGGCTTGGACATCAATCTGTGCCTTCATCAATTGCAAACTACGGTTAGATGAACCACCTCCAAAGCCAAAAGTTTGCTACAGAATGAAACTCATGACAATGAAGAAAACAAAGAACCTGTCCTTGACCTGAGTGTTGACTTGCAAATAGCAGAATGTCGAGGGTTGGCAAATGTCTGGCGCAATGCCCAATGAAAAGGGAAAGGAATAAAATATTTGGCCAAATTCAGAGGAATGGTTTGAGGCGGACAAGCTACATTTCTTCGCGTTTCATGACTACATTCAATTTAAATGAATTGGCAACTATACAGCTGTGCTTTTCACCGCCAGGTCGATGGCATGTAAGCACAGTCTTTGCAAGGATGAAAAGTTCTAGTGGTAGACTTCTTCAAGTTCTTCACATGGCGGCACTGGTCATTGCTGTGCCAGCACTTGCCAGTACTAGTGGTAATGACAACATCAGCAAAGCATCGCCTACCTGGCTGATCACTTGGCTCTTCCCGAATGGTTGGTCCTATTGGCTGCAGCAAAGTTTGTGGTGTGCCACAATCCTCCGTGCTAACTGCAGCATCCTTCATCGCCGGCTTTCGTGTAGGCCAAAATGTCCAGGCGCCGGCAAATATGATCAGGGCCAAGGGTAGAAGAGAAAGGTTGAAGTAGACGAACGCTGCATTCCAAATCTCCAATGCCGCTACCACACTCATATTTGCAAGCACAAAATATGGCACAACAACGTGCTTGAGCTTTCAGGCTTCAACAAACTACTCTGTAAAGCTCATTGAAATCCGGCATGCTTCTTGAACTTGAATCAACTTGCTAGTGACAACAAATTGTTGTTTTCTCATGTGAGATTTTATGAGGCAATTGCCCCAAGAAGAAAAACAAACGCCTGTGAAGGAGACTGCAGGTTTACGGGACAGGGACGCTTTATTTTTTTTGCATCGCAATGACAGAGGGTGAGGTTTCTAAGTTTAAACTGAGTCCAATTGCAGCCATTGCTTGGACTTATCCCTTCACTGATGCCGCTATAGCTAGAACCTGTTAGGCAGTAAAATGGTTCACATTTGCGATGGGTTCTTTTTTCACCAAATCAATGTCAGAACTGTTACAAGCGGCGCAGTGACCCTTGGTCCAACTGTGGCCAGCTGCCTCACCAATCATGGAATCATTGACCTCTCAGCGAAACTAAACCAACAACTGCATTGAGGGGCGATCTGGGAAATGAATGGTGCTGGTCCAACACTTTGCTGAGTTTTGTCCCATCAAAACTTCACTTGCCTTTCACCCTGCCTGCAATGCATCCGCAACATGCAAAAAAAAATAGTTGCTACAGGTTACAACACAGTAAGAATTTGGCTGAATTTAACTATTGAGTTCTTGGAAACAGTGCATCGCAAGTTCACAGGATGGCAAATCAATTGCCCTCTGCAATCTTCAGAGGTTTTCCCTTTTGGAGGGAAAGGGACGATCTAGTGATGACGTAAGGCTTCTGAACCTTCAAGGACAGCCCCACTCGCTCGAATCTGAATCGGAAGACCGTGCGAATGTGTGCACTGGTACTCACCGCCGGTACACACCTTGCAAAAAAGCTTTTGCAGTTGACCTTCTCACTCCCCTCCTGCTGCAGGATCTTGAACTTCATTTCGTGAGTGGGCTCCACGTTGAATGCATCACATCCCGCTTCCACTGAGCTGTCATCTTTCCGGGAGACATTGAAGTAGGAGACTTTGTGAGCCGTCACCGATTTCTCCCGCTCTGTCAGCACGAGAAGCTTGTATAGTGTCATGGTTGCCACACTGCCAGTTGCCGCACTTTCTCGCAAGCTGGTTTCGTCTACCTGCACTGGCGTTTTGTCCTTGTCTTCAAGCTTGTAGGGTACGCCATCTCCACATTCGGCCGCTTTTGCATACTGTCCACTGCCAAATCCTCCAAGTTGGCAATGTTTCGCAAGAACCTTATCCTTGTCCAAGGACACCAGCCAAACTTGCTTGCTTTTGGTAAGCAGCAACTGCACGCCGGAGACCTCAGATTGAACTTGGTACGCGATCTCTTCAACTGCCTTCAAGGCGTCAAGCGACTCCATGGTCGTTGCATTGGATACATTTGGATCCTGCGCACATCTCAAGTGAGCGGGGAATGCTGATTCTGTGTCAAATCCCATCACAATATCAATGTTCAATCCAATATTGATTTCAATGTTCATCAATTTTCAATGTAAAGGAATATATCAAATGTTGGATTTGCTTTGATGAATTCCTTGCTCAATTCATCCTGACGGCAAGCTTATTGCTAAATTCACAAATCCCCATGACTAAACCAGTATCCTTCAAAACTTAATTCTTCCTGAAGTGGGGCATCAGGAAGCCCCAGCAAAAAAAACAGTGGAGCATCAACAAAAAAGGAACAGGGAACACACGTCCTGCGCTTCACTGTTGGCCGTGTTCTCGCTGGCCTCGGTAGTGGCAGAACCAACCCCCGGCATGCTCTCCAGCAATTTGTCGTGCTTCTGCTTCAGCATTGCATAGGACTCTCCGATTTCACCAGTTTGTGAGCTCCAGTAGCGGTGTTCGTCCTGCTTGATCACCATCCGGTTTCCATTTCGCTCACAAACTTCCCACTTCAAGCTGTCCAAACCCGAGATTGTGGCTTCTCCCCCTGGGATGCTCTTGATCTCTGCTGTAGTGAGGGTGGGGGCCTCTTCAGAGAACGATGTGCCATAATCCAATTTGTTTGCCATCCAGCTTTGAAGGATGTCTCGCTGCAGACGACAATGGCCAAAGGTCTCGCGGCCAAGCCAGGATACGCTCAGGTAGTAGAGCTTCTCGCAGTTGAAGCCTCCGAAGTTGTTTTTTGTCAAGCTTGTGCTGAAGAACCTGAGCAAAGAAAATTAGAACCTGGTGTGTTCCCAATCTTCCCAAACAACGATATATAGTAGACACTCAGGCTATCATCAACTCAGCTTTTCTCAAAATAGGACAGCATTCAATTGGGACCATTCTGGAGATTCTAACTGATGAGCCCTTTCAGCAACTGACTGAGGCGGTGAGATGTTCGCAGCAACAAAGCAAACAATCACGCTTTGCCTGATGTGATTGCTTGTTTCTTTGTGTGTTTGTGTTTTGTGCCTACGTCTGAACTTTGGGCATCATCCCCCATGCCAAGCAATGTATATAGTATGAATCGGTGCCATTCAATAAGTCTCTACCGCCTGCTTCTAAACATCCAAAATATGTAAAAGGTATGGCGCCCAAAGTTAATCACAATCCTCTATTCACCTCGCAGAGTCTTTCGACCAGCCCAAAACAGAACACCATCATCAGCACATCACCTAACAGTTATGACAGAAAACACCCACATGTCCTGTTTTGAAACTCCCACCGCATAGTCTACTGACAATCAGGACATATACAATATGTATATATGTATATGATCTGTACATGAATATATATAATATATATATATACTCATACTATATCATTCAAAAGAAGAACTGTTATATGATATAACATATTTACAAATAAATAAGTATCTATTCTAATAAGGACTCTATGAATATCAATTTTGGAATGTTGCAATCTCCAGTTTCAGGGAGCTGGGTGAAAAGATCCACCTACATGACATGCCAATGGATTGGCAGGGCGCATCCTTTCTGATGGGTTTAGCTGCGTTCAACAGTGTTGCAAATAACAATTGTGGATCAACAAGTTTGCAGACAACTTTATCTAGCCTTCTGCAACCATTGCCGCAAAGTCAACATCAGT